AATTGGTGGTATTTTGTTACGGCAGCCCTAGGAAACCAACACACTCTTCCTTCTCCCCAGAAAAGAATTTCATTCTTGTCATTAGTAGATATGTATTACAAAAAAAGTACTTATTTTGAATTTCACCAATTAAAAAATACCGTGGAAATTGGTTTTCTCTCATTATACATACATCTCTTATATGTGATGTTATAGATACATCTCTTACACCTACATAATATCTCCAATTTTGCCTCTTGCCCAGGAAATCTAAAATATTTACTATCTGGACCTTTACAGATAAAGTTTGCCTAACCATGATCTGAACAATAAACTGTTTAATTTTTGCCTAATGTTGAACTTTATATAATAGATTCATACAGTATATGTTACTCTATGACTTGCTTCTTTCACAAAACATGGTTTGGAGACTTACCCATATTTTGGTGCAAATAGTTACACTTATTTTAATTAATATACAATATTTCACATATGAACATACTATAACGTACTTATTCATTCTACTGTTTATGGACTTTGGGGATCGTTTCCAGGTTTTTTTTTTTCTATTATGAACAATGGTGCTAAAAATAATCTTGTACACTTTTTCCAGTCACATGTGCATGAGTTTCTCTAGGGCATACACCTACGGGTGAAACTGCCGGATTACAGGACACAGTTGTAGATTAAACATGACCACAAATCCTTTGGCATCCCTTCCATCAAGAGAAGGAGTATATTTTCCCCTTCCCCTTGAGTCTGGGTTCACCTTATGACTTTTTTGAGCAATAGAATATGATGAAATGATATTCTGGAATTTCCAAGACCATGCTATAAAATGGCTGGTAGTTTCCATTTTCTCCTGGAAGCCAAATGCTATGCTGTAAAGAAGAGAGACAGATTATCAACTGATGAGAGGCCATGGGAGAGAGGCCCTGGAGGGTAAGAGGTCATTTAGGATGTTTCAGCCCCAGTCAAGAATCCAGCTAAAAGGAGCCATATGAATGACTTCAACTTATACTATATAGAGCAGAAGAACCCAGTCAACCCAGAGAAGTGTGAATAATAATAAAGCATTGTCATTTCAAACCATTAAGTTTTAGGGTGGTTTGTTAAAGCAATAGGTAACTGAAACACGTGCTGAAGTTCAACTTTCCCAAATAATGCCAAACCTCCTTCAAAGTGGTTAATACTCCTACCAGCAGCAATATATGAGTACGAGTTCCTGCAGCTCCACACCTCCCCAACACTTGATGTCAGACATTTAAAATTTTTGACAATCTGGTACGTATGAAATAGTATCTCAGTATGGTTTTAATTTACATTTCCCTTATTACTAATAAGGGTGAATACATTTTCATGTTAATAGTCACTATGTTCCTTCTTCTGAGTAATTCCTAGTAATTTATTTTGCTCATCTTTCTACATGGTTGACTTTTTTCCTAATGACTCGCAAAAGCCTACAAGCTTTTAAAGATTTAAAATCTTTTCATTTGTGGCTTCCTTTTCACAATTATAGTATATTTTGATGAGCAGAAATTATTTTCATATAGCAGAATTTATGAATCTTTTCTTTTACAGCCAATGCTTTTGGGGTTAAGAAATCCATCTGTAACCAAAATTGTATTAATTTTCTTCCAAAAATTTTATGGTTTATCTTTTAAATTTTTATCTTTAATCTACATAGAATGAATTTTTGTATAGGAATTGAGGTAGGCCTCCAACTACATTTTCCCCCATATGGCTAACCAACTGTCCCAGTCTGAAAAGTCCATCATTCCCACAGATCTTTAATGTCAGCTTTGTCATAGACTGAGTCTCCCTAAATATACAGATCTGTATCTAGCCTCTCTATTCTGCTCCATTTGGCTACATGGATTGCACTGTCTTAAATATAACAGCTTTCTTGGATATACTTGGACCATTATCTTTCCACATATATTTTAGAACCAGCTTATTTAATTGCACAAGCAAAATCAGTTGGGATTTTGATAGAAACTGTACTGATTCTAGAATTCAATGTGGGAAGAACTGACATCTTTATGACACTGAGTGCTCCAATCCATTAACATGGTATTGCTTTCTATTTCACACCTGAAACTACACAGTGTCTCTCTGTAATCAAATGTAATGTTAATTTTGGCCATCCAACCACGGTGTTATCAGATTTTTCCACTGTGTAATTACTATTCTTTCCCTTGCAACTAACAACGCAAAGATGCTTAAAGACCATTTTTAAATTTTTATTATGATGTTTTCAAATATATTCAAAAATAGAGAAAATACTAAAATAAGCTCCCATTTTTATTTAACAATTCAACAATTATCAAAATTTGAAAGTGATAATCAGAAAGCCAATCTCAGAAGTCATATAATCTCACCTATAAATGCTTCAGTATGCATTTCTAACTTTTATATAACAATATCATTATCACAACTAAAAAAATTGACAATAATTCCTCAATATCAACTAGTACCTATCCATATGCAAAGTTTAACAACTATCTCAAAAATGTCTTTTTACAGTTGGTTTGATCAAATCAGGATCCTGTCAGGACTTCACATTGCATTAATTTGTTACAGATATACCTCGAGATATTGTAAGTTCAGTTCCAAACCACTACAATAAAGTGAATATTGAAATAAAGCGAGTCACACAAATTTTTTGGTTTCCCAGTGCATATAAATGTTATGTCTACACTGTACTCTGTTAAGTGTGCAATAGTACTATGTCTAAAAAAAATGTACATATCTTAAATAAAAAATACTTCATTGCTAAAAAATGCTAACCATCAAAGCACGGTTGCCACAAACTTTCAGTTTGTAAAACACACAATATCTGCAAAGCACAATAAAGGTTAAAAACAATAAAACTAGGTATGCCTGTATATCTTATAAGTCTCTTTTAATCTATAACAGCTCCCCTTTCCATTTTCTTTATGCCATTTATTGGCTGAAAAATATAGATCATTTGTCCTGTAGTACAGCCCATATTCTGGATTTTGAACTTCTCATTTTTACTGCCATTGTACTGTATTTCTTGTTGATTTTTGCTTGTGTGCAGAAATCGAATTCTCCTCATTTACTTTTGTACCCTGAAAATTTGTCAAACTCTTATTAAATCTAATAATTTAGTTATACATTATTTTGGTTTTCTATGTAATCGTATTATCTGCAAATAATGACAGCATTGTTTCTTTCAGTCCAATCCAAATATTTTTTCTTTCTTTCTCATGCCTTATTTACTACAGAAAGAAGAAAAGTGTTCCCAGATTGAAGGTCTGAGGTGCTAGAAGGAATAAAAGCCAAAGATATTAGTAAATTAAGTACGGAAATCTAAAAAAGTATTTATAATGATGATTATAATAATATAAATAATATAATAAATAATAGTATTTTGGAGGTTAAAAAGATAGAATTAAAATATATTGTTACAATAACGTAAATTAAAAACCGAGTGACTGGAGTTCAACTTTTCTAGGTACTTGTATCGTTTGGGAAAATGGTAAAACTTTTTTACTTTAGACATTGGTAAGTTACATACATGTTAAACTTTCTAGGTTAAATACGATAAACAGAAATCCAAGACTTTAACAGTTTTTTTGACAAGAATGGGATTCTGACAGAGACATGGCTTTCTGGAAGAAAAAAGGACAAGAGCTCCCAGAGCCAGTTTAGGGGATAGAAAAAGACTCCAGTAGCACTCTCGCCCGTGGCTGAGAGGAGTAAGGATCCTCATCTGTTCTTCTGTTAAAGAAGCAGACCAACAAGAGGTAGGTACACTGTATACTGTAAGACACAATAGTATTCAAATCACTACACTAATACCACTACCAATAATAAATCTACTAAGTAAAGTTCAAGATTTCTTTGCACTCTTTTTTCTTCTTTTAAAGTTATACTTTTTTTTGCATAGATGCTCCCCATTCTCCTCTCATTATTTATTTATTTATTCATTTATTTGGTTGCGCTGCGTCTTAGTTGCAGCAGGCGGGCTCCTTAGTTGTGGCATGCATGTGGGATCTAGTTCCCTGACCAGGGATCAAACCTGGGTCCCCTGCATTGGGAGCGTGGAGTCTTATCCACTGCACCACAGGGCAGTCCCTCTTTGCACTCTTTTTGTCTTTAGAGCAAATCCCTCTAAGAGTGTACAAATTACTATGTTAAAATTATTCGTGCCGCAACTAAGAAGCCTGCATGCTGCAACAAAGATCCTGCGTGCTGCAACTAAGACCTGGCGCAGCCAAAATAAATAATAAATAAATAGATAAGCAAATAAACAATCTTTAATTGGAGAGCTAAAAGTATAAAAAAGAATTGAATTATTTTTCTATGTATGTTTATGTGAAAAACGACATATAGTTAAGTTCCTCTGTTTATGGTAGCATTCCATTTTAGCTTACCTCTTTCCCCTCATCTTTGATGAGCGATGTTGTAAAACACGTATGTGATTTAAAAGTCAAAACTTATAAATGTGTATATTCAAAGAAGTTCAATCCCTTGCCTATAGGTAACTAGATTCCTTAATTTCTAGCTTATCCTTCTCATATTTTTGTTTTGAAAAATATGCAAACACACACACACATACATAAGACACATCATGTGTGTATGTGTGTATAATTTTCCCTTCTTTTTATACAAAAGGGAGTATGCATAGAGTGTTAAAATGATTTTTTTAAACGTGAGTATTTAGATGGAAATGTCCCAATTGTTGCTTTAAAAAGCCCTATCCCTAGCAGATGCAAAGTATTATATACAGGATGGATAAACAACAAGGTTCTATATAGCACAGGGAACTATATTCAATATCCTGTGATAAACCATAATGGGAAAGAATATGAAAAAGAATGCATGTGTGTGATATATGTATAACTGAATTACTTTGCTATACAGCTGAAATTAACACAACATTATAAATAAGCTATACTTCAATAAAATAAATAAATAAAAACAAATTTTTTAATAAATTAAAAAAAAAAAAGAAATGAGGAAGCAAAGAGAGAGAAAAAAAAAAGGTCTACCCCTTTGCCTTTGGTTTAGTTGGATTCATTCCCAGTAGGATAAAGGACATTTTCATGCTCAAGGTCTCAGGAATTGGCAGAAAGAAGGGCAAAGGCAGCTTTCCTCTTAACCTGAAGACCGGACCTTAGTACTACTAAGGAACTCCTCCATCTGTAAAGCATTAGAACCAGAGTATATAAGGCAAGAAAGAAAAAAGGTTCCAAATTCCTCAGTACTATTGGTAGATGCCTAAAACTTGCTGAAGTAGAGTTAACCTACACTACAATTTACCAAAATTCTCTAGGACCTCAAAATCATGGTAAATGTGATGAAACTTTTATCTGTTTTAGGAAAGAAAAACAATCACTTAAAATTCTGAGAAGAAATCCAAATGAGGCAGGAACTAGCTTTCCAAGATACTAAAGCATTTTATAAAACTAGAGCAATTAAAATAGTTTAGTACTGGTACATGAATAGACAGACCAACGTAATAGAATTTTAAAAAAGACCCCTAGATATACAAGAATTCAGAGGTGGAATTTCTAATAGAAAGAAAAAAATAACTAGTCAGCCAATGGTGCTGGAACAACTGCACAGCCAGCCATCTGAACCAAAATAAGGGGGTTTCCTAACTCACTTCCTATGCCAAAATAGTATGCAAAACAGTATTTCATTTCAGGTAGATAAAAATCTGAGTGGGGAAAAAACCCCACAGAAATACTAAAAGAATACTTAAAAATTATAAAACAAAAAACTTAGTTTAAGATGGCCTTATAGCTTTGTCACAAAAACACAAAAACTTTAAAAGAATAGATTGAGGGGAATTCCCTGGCCGTCCAGTGGTTAGGACTCCGTGCTTACACTGCCAAGGGTGCAGGTTCATCCCTGGTCAGGGAACTAAGATCCGCATGCCACAGGGTGCAGCCAAAAAAAAAAAAGAATAGACTGATAACTCTGACTTGATAAAAGGACATGTTTCTGCATGGTAAACAAATTGGATAATCAAACTCGATGCAATGAAAAAAACAGAGAAAAACATTTCTAACACATATGATATAGAACAAATATTTTTACACTAGAGAGCTTAGAGGTCAATCAAAAACCTAATTGTGTAAGCCAGGCAAAGAAAAAGATACACAGCTGGCTTTAAACCAGGATTTCTCAATCTCTACACTACTAAAGACATTTTGGACAAGATAATTCTTTGCTGAAGGAGGCTATCCTGTCCATTATGTTTACCAGCATCTCTGGACTCCACCTATTAGACACCAGTAGCAACCCCCCTCAATTGTGACAATCAAAAATGTTCCCAGATATTGCCAAATGTCCTATGGGGGTCAAAATTGCTCCTTGATGAGAACTGCTGCTTTAAACATATAAAAAGATCCTCATCCTCACTCTTTGATACAAATTTTAACTATAATGAGGTGCCATTTTTTTCTCTAGTTAGATTTTTATTATCAAAACAAATATTTTTATTATCAAACATTTTGCTGTTTGCCAACGTGTTGGACTAGGAAATCTCATTCATCCTTTTGGATGTGCAATCTCTTTGGAAGGCTATTGGTATTAGCTATCAAAATTTTAATTACCTATACTCTTTGATCCAACAGCTTCATTTCCAAGAATTTATCATATGGATACACTCAAATATGTGCAAACAGGTGAATACAAGGATAATCATTGCAGCAAAGACAGAGTAACAAAAAACTAGAAATGATCTGGTATCCAATGATTGTTTGTTGGTTAAACAAACAGAACACCATGTAACTACTAAAAGGGAGGAAGATCAACATGTACTGAAAATATGTTCCAAGACATATTAGCTAAAAATACCAAGGCCCAGAAGGGACTTTGCTACTATTTTTTAAAGTGGGGTGTGTGTGTGTGTGTTCAGGACTCGGTACCCAAATATATTTATAAATGCACAGAATATTTTTGAAAACCTACCAGAGAGTAAGTAGGAGGCTGAAAGTTAAGGATAAGGAAACTCAACCTTCTGAGCTGTTTAAGTGTTTTGGCAACGTACCTATGTGTTTCAAGCAAATTACAAAACGGACTTGGCACTCAGCTCAAAACACCCATACAGTATAGCAACAAAACAGAATGAGACGGGGGTGGAGGAGTAGTTTAACTGGTATAGAGTTTGTTTCTCAAGTCGAAAAAGTTCTGCAAATTGGTTGCACAACAATGCAAACATACTTAACACTACTTAACCAACCGTACACTTAAAATGGTTAAGGTGGCAAATTTTTCCTTATGTGTATTTTACAACTACATATCTTTTAAAAGTGAAAAAAGTCCCCCCCAAAGATACCCATATTTTAAGATTAGTTTAGTTTGTTACTAATTTGAAATCCCTTTTTAAACACCCCATTATTTTCTTCTTCCAGAATCGAGCGTTCCGAATAAGTGGAGACTCATTAGGCGCACAAGTGTTCCAGTGACCTTTCACCTAGAACTCGCGGCCTTCGGCAAGGCACGCAGCTACTGCTAAACCCAAAGTGGGACCCGCCTTGGGGTCGGCGGGACACCTCACTCTGGATCCTTTACCTGTGGAAGAGATTGTAACATGACTGCCACCCTGAAGTACACAACTCTGCGTTACTTTTCACAAGTTACCGCAGATTCGAGGAACACTGTGTCCAGCGCGGACCAGCGTTCCAGACCTCGCCGGGCAGCTTCATTAACCCTCCCACCGCGGGGGCCGGGCCACCCATGCCATCCACTTCGCCCGGCGGGGTTTCTTCCCCACGGCTCCCGATTCCCCTTACCCCGTGTTGGGCAACATGACTGTTGCAGATTGGAGGCGGTGGCGACAACGACCTCAGCGAGCGGATACTGAGAGGGTGACTTCTCCCCGCACTTGGCCCCGCCCCGAGGTCTGCGGGGGAATTGGGCGCTCCAAGAAACGGAAGGTGGCTGAGTGCGCCTGCGCACGCCGTGGGCCTCCGTGGCGCTCGGCGCTGGTTTCCGCCTCCCGCCTGCCTGGCCCCTGGAAACCGACCCTAAGCGCAAGCGCTGTGAGAGACAACTCCGCCCCGCCTCTCTTGCGGGGGCTCTACGGTGACAATTGGTCTCCAGCCCGCGGGTAGAATGCTGGACGCGTCAGCCGCTGAGTACACCTTTCCCCGGCCTGTGAAGGGTTCCTCGCCGCAGCGCTGAGTTCCTTTGCCGGGTTGGGGGCGTGGGGGGCGTTTGAGTCGTGCACCAGGGACCTTGAGGGCTGAGGTGCGGCTTCTCAGCGGACTTTGGCTCTCGGTCCCCTCGCCGTCCACGCCGGCACCTGGACGCCTGCCCAGCTGCACGCGCGCCCTCGGAGGCCCCTCTTAGGAACGCTTTTCCTGGGCAGATAAGCACTCTTCCGGCCAGCGGCGCATTTCGACTCTCCCGCGAAATCTGGACTAAAGCCGGCCGGACTATAGATAAACAGCTCTGTGGTGAGGGGCAGCTTCTGGATCAGAGATCTGCAATAGTCGCACCGAAGAACTAAGTTAACTCTGATTTTTCGACTCTTAGCCAGTATCTCGGCGAGGAAATTCCCAGACTCGGTGGAATAAGGTGAATTCTGGGAGCCGGTATTGCTTTTGGTAGTATACCTTGGACATAACTCAGCTACTCTAATGAACTAGAGACCGGCATAATATTTTTAGGTAGACGTGAAAAAATTCTATTTTGAAGAGGTAGAGCACGATGATGAGGTTATGTGAGTAGATAAAGTAACCTAGAAAAAAAAAAAAAGGTAACCTGGAAATAGGATATGTACTCTCTCTTTTATTACAAGCCCTAAACGTCTATTTATTCATTTATATCACTTGCCAGTCTCATAGGCATTTGAATTTGAGATCTGTGATACGGTCCTTAGAGACTCCGGAGGAATTTACTTATTCAAGAAATATTAGCACCGAGTGGGTGCTGGTCACTGGAGATACAGTGGGGCAAAAAAAAGGCACGTTCTCTGCTTATGTAGAAGGAACAAGGAGTAATCAATGTGGTGGGTTTTTTTTTTCCTTAAAGGTTATCTTCATATTTATTTATTATTTGGCCGCACTGGCCGGCATAGGGGCTCTTAGTTCCCCGACCAGGGATCAGACGTGTGCCCCCTTCAGTGGAAGCCCAGATTCTTAACCACTGGACCGCCAGGGAAGTCCCCACTAATGAGTTCTTTAGACTATTGTAAATGTTAGGTGTTTTAGAGAGTGTGTTGATAGGGACTGTTAGATGAAAAAGCTTACTCTCCACTCATTCAAGAAAGTGAAGGCAACCTACAGAATGAAAGAAAACATTTGCAAATCATATATCTGACAATGTCTAGTATCCAGAATCTATAAAGAACTTTTACAACTCAGCAACAAAAAGATGAACCTCCAATTTAAACGTGAGCAAAGGACCTCAATAGACATTTCTCCAAAGAAGATAAACGAACAAGCAAGCACATGAAAAGATGCCCAACAGCAATAGTTATTAGGGAAATACAAATCAAAACCAGTGAGATTCCACTTTACATCCACTAGGATTGCTATAATAGAAAAGATGGAAAATACTAAGTGTTGGCCAAGATGTAGAGAAATTGGAACCCTCATACATTGCTGGTGGGAATGTAAAATGGCACAGTCACTTTGGAAAACAGTTTTGCAGTTTCCCCAAAGGTTAAAGTATGGTTACCAGCTACTGGGTATCTACCTACAAAAGAGCAATTCCACTCTTGAGTGTATAACCAAGAGAGAGGAAACTTCTTGAGAGTAACCACTAGATGGCACTGGTATTTTAAAATTCACAGTTATACAATACTGCAAAATGTTAATTTATTAACAATATTGTGACGTTATAATCTGACTTGGATTAAGCCAAAAATAGCATGAGGTTCCTTATAGGACCCTCATAAAGGGGAAATAAGAGGAGGCATAAATTTTAAATTCCTTAAAGAAATACTTTTTATCATTAGAACAAATTGTCATAAATAGTCAAACTTACCTTCACTTTTTGTGACTTCTAAAGTCTATCAAGGGACTCCCCTGGTGGTCCAGTGGTTAAGAATCCGCCTTCCAGTTTCGATCCCTGGTCAGGGAACTGAGATCCCACATGCTGTGGGGCAACTAAGCCCTTGCGCCACAACTACTGAGCCCAAGCACCGCAACAAAAGATCCCGCACGCC